GTCTCCAAACCAGCAGCGAGAAGCGGCCAGCGCAGCAAAGCAGCCAAGCCCTGCCAGACAGTGCTGCGGCAGTGCCGAAGGGCCTGGGGGCTGGGCACGGTGTCCCAAATGCCCTTGAAAGAACGCTGCACAGAAAGGGCCCCAAACCTCCCCCCTGAGGCTTTTAGCAGGTAGAACAATCTGTTCAGAAGCTGCACAGCTCTCATGATGCTTTACTGAATCCTTCTCTGCACAAACGGAGACCAGGAATCCTTGTGCTACCCACAGCGGGCCCAGGGGATGGTTTACCACCGTGCAACCTTCCAATATTTAGTGCCAGACTTATCACATCCCTCTGCAATTGTCTCCTGAGCAGACACAACAAGCCCCTTTTGCACCAGACTTGTTTATCATTTCTGTGCCTTTTATCATTTCTGTGGTTTCCTCAGCCTCCATCTCCACTTCGTTCTGACCCCTCCTCGACACAGACCGACTCCTCCTGGGACCTCTGCTCCGCTGAGGAGTGGAGCAGCTCCCTCCGCCCTCTAACAGCAGCGAGTCTGGCCAGACACTGCAGAATGACACGTGCCATCGAAGAGGGCATCACTACTGACTCACGCTGTGACCTGCTAGATCCCCAGATCCCTTCCCACCATCCTGCTGCTCAAAAAGATGCTCAGTTTTACTTCATTCCTTCTTCCCAGACCTGTTCTCCACAGCATTCACATCCCAGCTGAGATCCCATCACCAGGTCACCAGCTGACCAGCTCCAGAGCCCAGATCATGCTGTGCCCAGGAGGCCTGGGGGAAGGGAGGGAGGGAGCGATCGCTCTGGGTGGGCTCAGAGGTGCTCTCCAAGCTCTGAAAAAGGAGTCCCTGTTCCTCTGGGCTGGCAGAAGTGGAAAATGCAGAGGGAAAAGGTGCAGTACAATTCCAACAAGACCTGCCCCGGGTTTGTGCTTGGTTCAGACCATCAAGAAGCGTCACCCGGAGCTGTGTGGGGCTGAGGGACGTAGGGCACACAGGGTGTTTCTCTCACCTTTCTGCAGTAGCATGGCACTGGTCTCAGGCGAGCAATTCCCCTCATTGATGAGGTACTCGTGGAATTCCTTGAAGCCAATGGACTGGAAGATGCCGTGCTGGTAATCCTGCCTGGAGAGCAAGACAAGAGACAGGGGTCAAGGTCATCTGTGTCCGAGCAGGGGCAGACCTCACCCTCCCAGTTACAGCTGAGATCTCAGCCTCACCCTGCAGGGACCTCCCCAGGTGACACGAGCCCATGGCCTCAGGGACAAGCCAAGCCAGGCACAGAGGGACGCAGAGCGATGCCCTCGGCGCCAGCCCACGTCAGCTGGGTGAGCACTCAGGCAGCACCACGGAACTCGTACTGAGGGACACTTGCCAGATACGGTCCCGGCAAAATTAATGCAGTGCTGAGACCCACGAGGGCTCTGCTGTCTGACCAGCCCCGGTCTAAAGGTTTGGCAGAGAAGGCCAGGAAGGGATGGAGGATCTGGCTGGATCCCATCCTAGGCTGCTGCAGGAGCAGGCCCTGCCAGGAGAGGGCTGGGAGCAGGGATAATTGGGAGCTGCTGCAGGGAGAGTTAGTCCAGGCCCTGCATGGGTCTGGCGGGTGTGACTGGGAGCAGAAAGGGAACTGGCTTCTCACCCACCGGTTCTCAGCCACCTTCTCTTGGTTGTAGCGTCGGTGGAAGTCCCGCAGCTCCTCCAGCAGTCCTGCAGCCAGCATGTCATCCACCCGCTTCTCCAGCCGCTGGTCCAGAGCTGGGAGAGGAGAGCAGGGCACACTCAGCTGCTCGGAGTGGGGCACCTGGGAGGCCCACAGCTGGATAATGGCCTAGGGCTCAGCTCAGCACTGCCAGCCTCCCAATCCACCCGAGGAAGGCAGAGCCCAGCAGGAGAAGGATCAAGTCCTCCGTCACGCCCTCTGATGCCAAAGGAATTGCTGCCCTGTTCAGGGAGGAGGCTGGGGCAGGAGCAGGGATTCAGCCCTAATCTTGCATCACCTTGCCTAGCCAGCCAGGAACCCACTCTCACCTGCCTGGTCTGCATGGAGCCACAAGATGCAGGAATGTGGGTATTTCAGGGGCCCCCCTAAAGGCCCCCCACCTTCCTCCTCCTGCTGCTGGTGCAAGATTTCACTGTGGGGGATCCCCGTCTCTTCAAACACTTGGAGGCTCCTGTAAGCAGAGACAGAGAGAGCTCAGAGGCTGGG